TGAATACCGTTCTCCTGTGCTACCCTCATGACGTTGCGCAAATTGGCGCCAAGATCAGCTTGGTCTTTCCCGAATACAGCGACGTCATCCGCTATTCCATTCGTGCCCAGACACTGCTCCAATATGTTGTCCATGCGCTCCTGAAATACATCTTGGCTGACATTCAGGCCAAATGGCAACCTCTGGAAGCAAAATCGACCGAATGGGCTGTTAAATGTCGTCAGGCGACTTGATTCGCTGTCAAGTTCTATTGACCAATATCCGTGTCGAGCGTCCAACTTGGAGAAAATGGTTGCTCCCGCGAATTTGTGGGTGATTTCTTCAAGTGTCGGCGTCTTATAGTGCGGGCGTTTTATCGCCTCGTTAAGGTCCTTCGGATCAAGACACACCCTGAGTTTGCCGTTTGACTTCCGACTGTACGCCAGACTACTGACCCAGTCTGTGAGCTCAGTGACCTTAGTGATGACTCCTGACTTCACCATACCGTCAAGTTCCTTCATGAGCTCATCTCGAAGGCGAATCAGACATCGTCGTGGGGCGTGCACCACTGGCGGAACGGACGGGTCTACAGTTATGTGAAATGTTCCCTTGAAGTGACCAATACCCTCAAACCTGTCTGGATACATTCGGACCAAGTCCTCCTTTGCAGTCATGTGAGGATTTTCACTGTTCACGTGTTTGTTGACGGCACAGTTCAATGATACCAGATGTAGGTCACGTGAGGTGGGCAAAGCCATCAGAACCGGCCCTCCCGATTCCGTGACATAGAATTCTGCATCGCACGCCTTGTCCCGATACCTACAAGGTATGGACGTCGACCCATATTGTGCAATACGGGAGCCGTTGTAACCTGTCAACCAAGTATCAGGGTCTGTCCTCGTGGCGCCTTTCTTAGGAAATCCCTCGCCGTCTAGTCGTTCTGAATACATGCGTCTGTATATTCTCAGTGGGAGCAGATTTCCTTGGGCCCCTGTATCAACCTTGACCTTCAGTATAATGTAAACTGTAGCAAATACTTCGTCCCTCCTGTCTCGGGGGTTGTTGGAATGCACGGATTCAAATGAAAAATTCTCAAAACTTTCATTTAGAAAGTTCGTGGCTGCCTGTCTGTCTCTGTTACCATGATGTACCTCGTGAACTTGGTGCCTTCTCCCACGTGAGGCTGACCTGCCTCTGTTATTCCTGCTCTGACCTCTATGTAACTGTGACCTTGACCTTGGGTTTCTGTCCCTAACCCGTGTGGACATGCACATTTTTTTCCAGTGGTTCAATTTACCACACAAGTCACACTCTGTCCCATAGGCTGGACATTTCTCCATGGGTTTCGGCGGGTGTTTTCCCCCACAGTACTCACACATCGGATACGACTGTGGTCAGCTTTTATATGCCTTGTTAACTTGGTGAACCGTGCCTCCGCTGGTGCCACCAGCTAACTGTTTCATCTGAGCATCAGTCGCTTCACGCGTTCTGACAATGTCTAGCGCTTCTTCAAGCGTTAGCTTCCCATCTTTGCATAAGAGAATTTCCTGGACCTTCTTGTGTACAGTACCGATGATTAACTGTTCAATTAATCTCTCGTTCGTTTTCTGATCATCACGGAACTTGCACTTCTTCGCTTGAAGCTTACACCTAGTCATAAACTCATCAAAATTTTGTCTCCCCTTCTGACTGGTGCAGTTTCTGTAACTGATATCTGTGCAGCCGAGAATTTGACTGCCCAGGGCTCAAAGTGTTTCTCAAACTTGTCCCATAATGTGGCTGGTTTATCTGCTTTAATATTCCAGGAGTTGAATATCTGCAATCCCTCCTGA